CTCCCCCGTTCATGCTCTCTCTCTCTCTGTCCCAAAAATAAAAAAATTAAAAAAAAAAAAAAAAAAAAAGATCTTACCAACCATCCAACTTTACTAATAGTTGCAAGGATATGCAGTCAGAAGGCACATATCTGGAACAAGGAGAGATATCTGGAACTCTGGGCAATTCCCCATGTCCGTCCTTTCTACGTCAGGCAGGCACTTTCTGGCCCAGAATAGATGAGGTCTTTAAATGAAAAGGTGTAGTTATTACCTCATAGCAGAGAGCATATAGATTTTGAAACTTGTCCCTTCTATTCCCCAGGGTTGTATAGTTTAAGTGATTTTCTCCAGTGGGCCATGCCTCATAAGTCTGTAGATTTTTGAGTTTGTTTACTGTAAACATCCTTAACAAAGGACATCCTACTAAGAGCATTCCTCATGTAAAGATTTTCCTCTTAACAAACATCACTAATCTGTTTACCAGGAGGACCAGTTAACAGTATATTATTAACAAGTACATCAAACTCCTTCACCTACTTTTCTTAGAGTTTCTTTCTGATAAAGTGAATGGATCCCAGGACAACTGCTTTAATTCTTCCTGGATTTGTAATAGTCTTTTGGCTTGCTTTGTTTGTGCTTCCCTCCACCTGTTTGGAGAATGTTTCAAACCTATAGAAAAATTGTGATTGTGTAGTATAATAAGAATAATGCTACATTGTGTCATATCCATGTTTATTGGTGTTGAGTTCTAATCATTTGGTTTGGATGTTGTCTCAATTTCTCCATTTTAAAGGCACCTTTTTCTGTTTGCAATTATTAAGTAAATTTGTGAAGTTACAAGTTTGAGACAATATAAATATCTTGTAATCTTTCACCCAGTGATAGATGTTCTGTGGCTGAATCAGTCAACGGTTTTTTATTGTTTCTGTTTCTCTGCTGAGATTTTTTTCTCTGATAAAATTGTAATTCACTGAGGAGAATTTTTACAAATATATGCAGGTATGTATCATTGAGGTTAT